TTTTTGACAGGGTGAGCGGAACTCCGCTTTAAAACCAAAGTGAATCATATGACAAGTCTAACCCATATGTCTAAAAACTCTTACCATCGAAAACAGTTTTTGTTGAATTGAGTCAGTTTGTTACATTTGCTCTAGCGCATCATACAGGATAATGCGATAAGATTGGAAGTTCTGTAGAAAAAAAGAACGGCACATATAAGTTACTATAGGGGGTTGCATAATTCTCGATATATTAAGCTATACATTTTTTTTTCAATAACAGAGCACAAAATATAACAAATCCACAATGAATAAAACAAGCATTTATATTTTATCAGCTAAACCAAAACCACAGGTATAAACACTGCATTAAAAAAGACATATTATGAAAGACTGCCTTTGATCAGCAAAGCGTACATTATTGAACATTTTGCAATATTTATTGTGATGTTAGCATCAGAGAATTGAAGGAATAGGGGGGAAAAAAACTAGGCTATATGCATCACAATCGTGTTACTTTTTCTGAACATGAGATAAATGGTGAGCCTTATTTCTTCTCAATGATGGCCGCGTTTTTATTGGTTCTCTAAATGCACTTACACTGGCATGGGGGATCTAGTGATGGATTTGCAATGGATTCAGGCGTACAAGTAGGAACGGGCGCTTCCGTACAGGAAATGGCAAGTATATTATGAGCTCCTTGCCTTAAGTGCAGTATAAAACAACTTTAAAAAATCCCTTTTGACAGACTCATACATTTAAGTCAGTGCAACTAATGGAACATTCATTTAAATTTTCTGTTATGGTAATAAGTTACACTGGCTGCTCCAGAGCATAGCAGAAAGGAGCCTTCTCTTTGTGCGATATTGTTCATCTTGGAGCATACGAAGCCTGGGAACGTTAAGATCTTTGCGCTGCTTTGCCATTTCTTAGGAAAATGGCACTAAACCGCCATCAATGCCTCACGTATTTACATTTTTACTACTAGTTTTCTGGTAATGCTTTACTTTTATATGATTTTATTTTCCAATAAAACAAGCTACTGGTGGATGTTAAACAATCCTAAAGAAAATAAAATACATCCTGTTTATGTTTTCAGTTGGAGAAGTAAAAAGGGAGAAGATTCTGAGGTTCCTCATTTAAAGGGATGGTGTAGTGGTTTTTGTACATGTTTTCTTAATTGTGTCACAGTCAAGAAATAAATATTACAATATTATTTTTTTTTCTTTTAAGTTGTGTAAATATAAAATATTACATAAAAGAATGCTGCATTTTTCTTTTGACCCAGCAGGGTGAATTTTAGAATCAGTTTATTTGTACATATTTTTAAGTGACTTCTTTGGCCCACTGTTGTAAAAAAAAATGTTTACAGAGCTAAATAGCTCAAGGTAAAATTTACACACATATGTAAACTCTGAATCAAAGCAGTGATTTGCTGAACAGAAAGATAATAAATAGAGATGAGCCCAACGAACCTGGCGAAGTGGAATTCGTTTTGAATACCGGAAAAAAATTTGTCGCTGGGAAACCCAATTTTAAACAAAAATTCGGGTTTACGGGAAACGAATTTTTCCCCCATCCGCCGGGAAAGTGTCCCCTGCAGAGAGCCCGCGAATTTTTGACAGTTCGGGCAGTTCATTTTTCGCGGTTGAAACAAATTTTAACTATTTGTTTCCATTTAGGGAAAAAGATTTTTTTTTTCGGGAAAAAAATAGAACAAAAATTTTTAACGCTGTAAATGTGGGAAAAAACTGTCAGAGAAACTGTCAGAAATACGGAGCTCTCTGCAGATAAAAACTTTTTTCTGACTGGAAACTTCTTTTTCATTTTTTTCTTCTTTCTTTTTCTTCTTTTTTCATTCCTTTTTTTCATTCTTCTTCCCTTTTTTTTTCATTCTTTCTTCTTCTTCTTTTCCCTTCTTCTTTTCATTTTTCTTCTTTTTTTTTTCCCTTTTTTCTTCTTCCCCCCTTTTTATTCTTCTTCTTCTTCATTTCATTCTTCTTTTTATTCTTCCTCTTCTTTTTATTTTTCTTTTTCTTCTTTTTAAATTTTTTTTTCTTCTTCTTTTCATTCTTCTTTTCATTTTTCTTCTTTCTTCTTTTCATTCTTCTTCTTCTTTTCATTTTTTCTTCTTCTTTTCATTCTTCTTTTCATTCTTCTTTTCTTTTCATTCTCTTCTTTTCATTCTTTTTTTCATTCTTCTTCTTCTTCTTTTCATTCTCTTCTTCTTTCTTTTCATTCTTCTTCTTCTTCTTTTCATTCTTCTTTTCATTCTTCTTTTTTTCATTCTTCTTCTTCTTTCTTTTTCATTCTTCTTCTTCTTTTCATTCTTCTTTCATTCTTCTTCTTCTTCTTTTCATTCTTCTTCTTCTTCTTTTCATTCTTCTTTTCATTCTTCTTTTTTTCATTCTTCTTCTTCTTTTCATTCTTCTTCTTCTTTTCATTCTTTTTTTCATTCTTCTTCTTCTTCTTTTCATTCTTCTTTTCATTCTTTCTTCTTTTTCTTTTCATTCTTCTTTTTCTTCTTCTTTTCATTTTTCTTCTTCTTTTCATTCTTCTTTTCATTCTTCTCATTCTTCTTTCATTCTTCTTCCCCATTCTTCTTTTCATTCTTCTTCTTCTTTTCATTCTTCTTTCTTTTCTTTTCATTCTCTTTCATTCTTCTCATTCTTCTTCTCATCTTCTTTTCATTCTTCTTCTCATTCTTCTTTCATTCTTCTTCTTCTTCTTCTTCTTTTCATTCTTCTTTTCATTCTTCTAAATTCTTCTCATTCTTCTTTTCATTTTTTCTTCTCATTCTTTTTTTCATTCTTCTTCTTCTTCTTTTCATTCTTTTTTTCTTTCTTTTCTTCTTCTTTTTCTTTTCATTCTTCTTTCATTCTTCTTCTTCTTCTTTTCATTCTTCTTCTTCTTCTTTTCTTTCTTCTTTTCATTTTTCTTCTTCTTTTCATTCTTCTTCTTCTTCTTTTCATTCTTTTTCTTCTTCTTTTCATTCTTCTTCTTCTTCTTTTCATTCTTCTTTTCATTCTTCTTCTTCTTCTTTTCATTCTTCTTCTTTTCTTTTCTTCTTCTTCTTCTTTCATTCTTCTTTTTCTTCTTTTCATTCTTCTTTTCATTCTTCTTCTTCTTCTTTTCATTCTTCTTCTTCTTCTTTTCATTCTTCTCATTCTCTTTTCATTCTTCTTTTCATTTTTCCCTTTCATTCTTCTTCTCTTTTTCTTCTTCTTTTCATTCTTCTTCTTCTTCTTTTCATTCTTCTTTTCATTCTTCTCATCTTCTTTTCATTCTTCTTTTCATTCTTCTTCTCATTCTTCTTTTCATTCTTCTTCTTCTTCTTTTCATTCTTCTTCTTCTTCTTTTCATTCTTCTTCTTCTTCTTCTTCGTCGTGCCCGTGACTCCCCAAATGAGTGAAGTGTGGGGTGATTCTAAGATCGACGGCAGTCACATATAAACATTTATTTGTAAAACAAAGTTTTTATGTGTTATTATTTATATTATTTCATCTATATATCTATCTACTGTATCTATCTACAGTATTACACGGTATGTATATATGTACACTATGTAAAAGCTTAGCTCCAGTAAGTCCTTAAATGTGAGTGTGATGGGAGTCACTTTTGGGTGGGGGGTTCATGGAACCCAGCTTACTTTGCAGAGGTTGGGAGACCCTTGTCTCAGCTCCCCATATCCCTCTTATGTGCAAGTCACCCTGTGTCTCGTAGGGGCACAGGGTGACTAATGAACTCTGAGAATGCGGTTGGAATTACTTCAGATGGGACACTAATATTTATCAGCCATATGAAGACTATTCCTGGTTGTTGATTCTGAACTAGACATGTGAATTGAAGGAGCCGGACCGTCTGCTCTGTAGTAAGATCCTAATTCATCAAACCATTGTCTAGGTGTGAATTCCCATTCACCTTTTGCTTTGATCACCCAGCTAGCTAACCAAATTAACTTATTGTTTAGAATGTTAAGTCTATTTCTGTATATAGCTGTGTTTGCATATGATCAGTCTCAGTATATTGTATAAAAAGCCTGTTTGAGTTTAAAATAAAGAGTTCCATTTTCAGACAGACTGGTGTCGTCTAGTCTTGTATGGTCGGCTGTGGTGTCTGTTGTCGGTGTTCGGATGGGGAAGCGGTATTCTAACGGAAGTACTCAAGCACAGTCTGGGTTGGTTCCATTAAAGTAAGCAACTGTCTTTCCCTCCATTGTAAGGGTTAAATGCTCTAGGGGGGCTATAAATTGAAAGAATACTTACCTTTCTTTCTTTTTTTTTTTTCTTTTTTTTCTTTTCTTTCTTTTTTCTTTCTTTCTTTCTTTCTTCCTTTCCTTCCAACTAGTCTTTCAAAATGTCACTCCTCTTCATTGTACGGACAGCACTGCTAATGTCATTACAGCCGATGCAGGATCAGTGATTCTATACCTACATTATGAAAAAGTTGAGGACCAGTCTGCATTTTGGGAGTGTAGGAGGGTGCCTGACTTTTAGAAAAGGAAAGAATAAGGTAAGTATTCCTCTAATTTACTCCACGCCCTCCCAGAGTAAACAAACTTGCCCTCCAGATTATTTACCCCCCTTCCTGACCAGGCCATTTTTAATGGCACTGCGTTAATTTAACTGATAATTGTGCGGTCATGCAACACTGCACCAAAATGAAATTTACGTCCCTTTTTCCCACAAATAGAGATTTTTTTTGATGGTATTTCATTGCCTCCACATTTTTTATTTTTTTTGCGCCATAATTAAAAAAAAGACCAACAATTTTGAAAAAAAAACTATATTTTTGACTTTTTGCTATTAAACATGTCCAGTAAAAAAATTGTAAAAATCAAATTTTGTCATACATTTGGGCCAAAATGTATTCTGTTACATGTCTTTGCTAAAAGAAAAACCCAATACATGTAAATTTAATTGGTTTACCTGAAAGTTATAGCATTTACAAATAGCGGTATATACTGGAATGTAAACAATTTTTTTTTTTTTGTACTAGTAATGGTGGCAATCAGCAACTTATAGCGGGACTGCGACAGGCATTCTGACACTTGGGAGGAACTGACTTGATGTCACTGACATCCCCAGTGACACCAATACAGTGATTAGTGCTAATAAAAAGCACTGACACTGTACTAATAGCATTGGGCAGGAAGGGGTTAACTGTGTGCTGTTTTACTGTGTGCTGTGTGTGTGCTTTACACTGCAAGCACACTGCTTTGTATGGCCCTGCTATGCAGAGCCATACAAAGCAGTGTGCAGGAGCTGACAGGGGAGAGATCTGTGTTGTTTATACACAGGTCTCTCCCCTGTTGGTGATACCCCATGGGGAATCACCACCCGGGACCTGGTGAGTGACAGTCGAGGCCGCGAATGGCGTGTTCCCCCTACCCAGAACTGCAAAATCACATATATATACGTGATTTTGTGCACCCGTTGCCGCCCTGTAGTGGTTAAATTTACCTTAGTTTCAACAGTCTAATGCTTGCAAGGTCCCTCGCTGGTGTTGACATTTTATCCCTTGTTTCTATTGGGATCCAGTCTTGTTTGTGCCACATGATGTTCTCAGTTCCGAGTTGAATGGTGGCTAGTGATGCCCAACTCAGAAGACTGTGGTGATACTGGAATGCAGGATGACACTACTATGGAATTAATATCACATTCACTGCAGTTTCTTATGTTCCAGTTTTATGGGCAATAACTCCATACATGCCCCAACACTTGTTTAACTATGAGCCAAGGACAAAATAAAACCTGGGTGCCAAGCCCAGGGGGTAGACCTTAACACCCTGCACTTACTGTCTTTCCTTAGATATTCAAGTTAATTAATGCTTTGTGTATTCAACCCAAAATACTGAGGGCTCATTCACACCATGGTTCAGAGATGTCAGTTTTTCTGCACGCGTTCTGCAAGGACACAACAAAATAATTGTTCTCTGTGTGTCCCTGTTCACACCACAACACTAGTATCATGTGCATAATTGTTCTGTGCAGGAATCTTTAATGTGTATAGAAGCGTTCATGAAATATGATGTCTCTGCAAGTGAAATCTGTGCATCAGTTTCCATCAGTTTTTCTGCACATATGGTATAAACGAGGCCTTAGAACTTTTTGTGATGAAGAAGAGGTACCGTAGGGGACAGCTCTTTATCAGAGTTGAGTGTTGCAGCCTTAGCTCAGCATTTGGTTTTAAAGGGGAGCTCCACCCAAAAGGGGAGGTTCCGCTTTAAGCACCTTTGGGGAGCGGGGGGGGGTACCCGAATTTGACAGCTACCGGCTCCCACTTCCGCTGTGATTACCTAGGTGATTGGAAGCAGAAGCTGTCCTCCCCTCCTCCCTCCCAATAGTCTTCTAGGACACGTGACAGGTCCCAGAAGACTACGGGGGGCATTCACAAAGCGCAGCGCTTCTCACGCATGTGCATTGGGCAACAGGCTTTGAAGCCACAAGCTGTCACAGCCGGGTGCCCACAATGAAGATGCCGGCCCGCGGGGAGAGAAGAGGGATGGTGAAACCAGCTATGGTGAGGACACCGATGGACTGAGGGACAGGTACAGTTGCAAGAAAAAGTATGTGAAACCCCTTGGGATTACGTGGAGTTTTTGCATTAAATTGGTCATAAAATGTGCTCTGAGCGTCATCTAAGTCACAACAATAGAAGAACACAGTCTGCTGAACATAATACTACACAAACATTAGATGTTGCCATGGTTTAATTGCACATAACATGTAAACATTCACAGTGCAGGGAGGAAAAAGTATGTGAACCTTTGGACTTAATAACTGGTTGACCCTCCTTTGGCAGCAATAACCTCAACCAAACGTTTCCTGTAGTTGCAGATCAGACCTGCACAACGATCAGGGGTAATTTTGGAGCACTCCTCTTCACAAAAACTGTTTCAGTGTAGCAATATTCTTGGGATGTCTGGTGTGTATTGCTCTCTTAAGGTCATGCCACAGCATTTCAATGGGGTTGAGGTCAGGACTCTGACTGGGCCACTCCAGAAGGCGTATTCTGTGCTGTTGCAGCCATTGTTTTGTTGAATTACTTGTATGCTTTGGGTCATTGTCCTGTTGCATCACCCATCCTCTGCGGAGCTTCAGTTGGCGGACAGATGGTCCTACGTTTTCCTGCAAAATGTCTTGATAAACTCTGGAATTCATTTTCACATCAATGACAACAATCCGTCCAGGCCCTGAGGCAGCAAAGCAGCCCCAAACCATGATGCTCCCTCCGCCATGTTTTACAGTGGGGATGAGGTTTTGATGTTGGTGTGCTGGGGCCTTTTTTTCTCCACACATAGTGTTGTGTGTTCTTCCCAAACAACTCAATCTTGGTGTCATCTGTCCACAGTATATTTTGCCAGTAGTGCTGTGGAACATCCAGGTGCTCATTTGCAAACTTCAAACGTGCTGCAATCTTCTTTTGGACAGCAATGGCTTCCTCCGTGGTGTCCTCCCATGTACTCCATTCTTGTTTAATGTTTTCCTTATTGTAGATGTGTCAACAACAATGTTAGCATGTGCCAGAGATTTCTGTAGGTCTTTAGCTGACACTCTGGATTCTTCTTTACCTCATGCAGCATTCTGCGCTGTGCTCTTGCAGTCATTTTTACAGGACGACCACGCCTAGGGAGAGTAGCAACAGTGCAAAACTTTCTCCATTTGTAGACAGTCTGTCTTACAGTGGACACATGAACATCAAGGCTTTTGGAGATACTTTTGTAACCCTTTCCAGCTTCATGCAAGTCAACAATTCTTGATCGTAGGTCTTCTGAGAGCTCTTTTCTGCGAGGCATGGTTCACATCAGACAGTGCTTCTTGAAACCAGTAAACCCAAAACAGGTGTGTGTTTTTTTAAGGGCAGGACAGCTGTCAGCAACCCATCCAATATCATCACACTGATTGGAGTCAAGGTTGGCTCACTCCTGGCTCCAATTAGCTCTGGGAGAAGTCATTAAGCTAGGGCCTCACATACTTTTTCCTCCCTGCACTGTGAATGTTTACATGTTATGTGCAATTAAACCATGGCAACATCTAATGTTTGTGTAGTATTATGTTCAGCAGACTGTGTTCTTCTATTGTTGTGACTTAGATGACGTTCAGAGCATATTTTATGCCCAATTCATGCAAAACTCCATGTAATCCCAAGGGGTTCACATACTTTTTCTTGCAACTGTAAGTGGCTGTATTTTAAGAGTCAGCAGCTACAGTTTTTGTAGATGCTGACTTTTATTTTTTTTTTTCAGGTGGAACTCCACTTTAACTCTTTTGCTGCCGCCGCCATTACTATTATAGCAGTAGCACAGCATTGTAATCGGGCTTATGGCTGCTATAGCAGTTGAGAGTTTTTTCCATTTTTTTTTGCGGCTGCTGACTTTCTAGTGGATGTAATTCAGGTAGTTGTGTTCCTTGCATGCCAAAGTGAGAACAATTATTTTAGGGCCATCATTCACAGTTAACTCAAAAATTTATGACCTGTAAAGGTCTTTTCAAGAAGATATGACCCCCTTTGGGACTTTAATGCAGCTGACATAACATCACACATGTATTCATAAGAACGTTTTTATATATACTTTATTGTACAAAAAATATTATTGAAAAATCCATTACAGCTTAAAATCATACTGGTATCTCTGATAACTATTCCAAGAATATAGTCCCTTGGAGGGTTACAGCAATACAATGTTCCCAAAAAGCCCTTTTAAGGGCCTTTTAATATGGCGCCTATGGACATTTTTGGGTAAAATTGTTTTTTGCGTTTTTACAGGTGCTAGCAATTTGAGGTTTGATATATTTGGCATCTGTTTATTGGACACAACCTTATCTTTTATGTGTTAGAACAAATGTCAAGTGACTGAAAAAAAATTGCAATTACCACAAAATGAAAAAAAAAGTCACTGGCAGCAAAAAATTTAATTCCTCCCTCCCCAGTCAGTGGGTGTATTTAGTTCATGTGCTGCCCTAGGCAACTCTAACATTGGGCACCACCCACACAACCAGCACCCCTAAATTGCCCCCCCCCCCCGCCACTGTCACCACCATCCACCACCACATCCCAACATGCCCAGTCCCTCCCATGCATCCAGTGCTCCCACCCACTGCCACCACCAAACCAACTCACAGCCCCCCCACTCCCCGCTGCCACCACCTGATTCCTGCACCAGCCTTAACCCCTCCAGAATGAAGGAAGCAGCCCGGCCATCCCTGCACCCTCCAGCAGTGTGCAACCTCCTCAGATCTAACAGCGGAGCTGGCCAGGTCTCCATCCCTGCCACTTGAGTCCCTTCTTCTGCAACCCAAAAAAAATTCCACCCTAGGCAATCACCTTGTTTGCCTCCTGGTAAATACATCACTTTCCCCAGTAGTACATGCTTACCACCTTTTTGTTCCCTTGCTTCCATTTTAAAGCAGAACTCTGGGTTAAGCAAATATTGTCTAAATACAAGGGTCATGTATATTCCTATTATTTATTTCAGGTACTTATATAGCACCATCAATTTACACAGCGCTTTACACATATATATTGAACCTTCACATCAGTCCCCAAACCTCAAGGAGTATACAATCTAAGGTCCCTAACTTATTTTCATACACATACTAGGGCCAATTTAAACAGGATCCAATTAAACTACCAGCATGTCTTTGGAGTGTGGGAGGAAACCCACGCAAGCACAGGGAGAACATGCAAACTCCATGCAGTAGGCACCATGGTTGGGAATCAAACCCATAACCCATTTACTGCAAGGCAGACGTGCTAACCACAAAGCCCCTGTGCCACTTCTTGACTCTTGGTGTCCTTTGTGTATTTCTTCCAGACTTCACCTTTGTGCAGGAGCTTCCTGTAATAAAGACCGCTCACTGCTTCTCTCTCTCCTTGTGCAGGGTGATTGGTAATGTCTCCACCCCCTCCTGTAGTTTTCTGCAGGCAGCCTGTAGTGGGTGGGGCCTGCTGGACTCCTCCTACAGCTTTGCTCTTTGCACAGGCTACGTACAGCACAGCGATGATGTCACTTCTATTGTTATAAGGTTATATCTGGGTTTGGAAAGGCATTTGGAGCATGTAAAATACATTTTTATCCTTTGTGACTATTGAGGAATATATTAAAATTACGTTTTGTAGTCTGGAGTTCAGCTTTAAGCTATTGGCAGTGAGGAAAATACCTGGCACTCTTGGGTATGGGGGAGTATGTAACTCAGTTT